GGGGGGGGGGAAGGAGGGAAGGGAGATAGAGACAGGCTCCCGAAAGATTTTTGCGAGCGAAGCTTCAACAGGTCATCTAGTTTTTATTAACAGGTTTATCGGAATCGGCAAATGGGAGGGTGTGAAGGAGGTGGAGAGATTCGTTCTTGTACCTGTTTGGGACTCGAACTACCCGTAGCCATGCAAATGGGAGGCTGTGAAAGAGGTTGGAGAGATTCATTCTTGTACCTGTTTGGGATTCAAACTTCCTGCGGCCATGCCGTGGCAACGGAGGAACACTGAAACCGTGAGATGTGTTTTTGTACCTGTTCGGGATTTGAACTACCTGCAGCCATGCCGCGGCAAAGGAGGACGGATGAAACCATGAAATAGGCTAGGAGGGGCTCTGGACGTGTCACCTTTTTATCAATAGGTATACCTGAATCGGCAAAGTAAACAAAGACGGACCTGCCACACTTTCCTGGATACCGCTGCAGCTATGTGTCGTCTTCTGCTATTTTTAGGATTTGAACTCACAACCTGTTTATCAACAGTATAACTTGTGTGAACCAGGTCTCTCCCAAAACTATCCACTGTCACGAGAGACCCAGTTCAGGATCTGAGCTCATGACCAGTTTGCATGCGTGTACCATTTGAGGTTTGAACTTACTAGGTCTCCGCTGAAACCATCCACCGTCTGAAGACCCAATTTTTTCTTAACCTTGACTATTGGGAGGATTTGTGTCCTCGGCATGCCTGTAAGGCCCCCCTGCTGCAAGCATAGTGCCCGACCTAAGTGAAGGGGGGGGCGCATATCTCAAAGGGGCCGTAATATTGAAAAATTTTCCTGCCTGGGTGGGCGCCGGACAGTTGCCACGCACCAGCTGGTTATGTGCCCTGTTTGCGAGCATCAGAATCTCTGTGAGCCCTCCAGGCTCGTCTACTCTCGATTTGGAAGCCCTCGGCCAACCAGAGAGCAGGGAACACCTTGCAGGGCGTTGGGTGGTTGGGCACGTCTAACTGCTGCGGGCCCAGGCCACTGTCTGAACGGGCCTGGGCGCAGACACTTGGCCCAATGTGAAGCTACTGGAAGCACACACATCCCACGCCAGGCAGCCAGGGAGGCAAGCACTTTCCATTTAGGAAAGAGCTCGCCTCTTGCTGAGACATTCGGGCACTTGCATGTTGGGCGGCAGCGCTGCTGGATAGCGCACTGAAGGCTGCTAGCGAGCAGAGCTCGTGCGCATGCGGGCGCAGGGTGAAGTAAGGGCGCTGCTACTGAGCAACCCCATAGCCCAGGTGGCCGTAGCCGGGTCTGGGAAGACATAGTTGGCGGGGTATAAGGAGGGGAAGGGGAGTGATGTGAGAGCACACACCTGGTTGTCCTGGGGGTCTACATGAGTGACATCTGCATATACTTTGGTTGCTGCTGCTGACGTCAATTGGTTGCTTTGTACTTTGAGTAGGCTAGTGTTGTAGCTGTAGGATAGTAGTCTGGGCGCTGACCGCCAGGAGGAGGAAGAGCTTCGAATACATCGTTGGTGGTGGCGAGAGTGGGCCTTCATTGACAAAATTGAGCTGTTTTGGTTCTCCTTCGGTGCGATTTCAGTGCGTTTCTGCTTCCTGGACAGCTTGCGATTATCTGGCTTTCAATGTGATATTGCAATCTGGAATTCTGTCATTTGCCATTGCTCATTTTTCCTTGCACTATACTGTACACAGACGTGGAAAGTTGTATGAAGCGGGGCTCTTGTACTAGTCAGGATTTGAACCTGTGGCCTGTGTTTTGACAGCGACTCCATAATGAAAATAGAATTGAACATACCACACACAGTTTCCCTGATACCACTGAGGCTAGTCCGCCTCCTGTTTTTTTTTTCCCTTGCGCAGGGGCCATGCTAATCTTCTCTGTATCGTTCCAATTTTAATGGATATCCTGAAGGACGAGGCTAGTCCGCTTCTACCTTTTAGTCCACTCAGGGTCTGACCTTACCAGCCCAAACCATCCACCTTTTATGGGACGCGAAATTCAGGATCTGAGCTCAATGGTTGATAGTTACAGCCTACATGTGTTTACTTTCTGGGCGTTGCACGTAATGCCTCTCTCCCAAAACCATCCCCGGTCGTGAGAGGCTCAATGTTCTTGCTTCAATGGATTATTATCAGGGTTCGGCAGCTATATGTGTGTTCTGCTCAGGGTATGACCTTGCCGGGTCCCTGCCAAAACCGTCCACTGCCATGAGAGACCCAATTCAGGATTTGAGCATATGTCCTGTTCATCAACAGCATGTGCGCATACTATTTGGGGGTTGAACGTAACAGGGAGAGAACTCCCCTCATGGATTCCTCTTCACTTATATCCTTATAGGTGAGTCTTTTTTTTTTCTTTTTTCTTTTTAATCTCCTTCTCTTCTGTGATGCACCAGCAATCTTCGGGTTAAGAAGAAGAAAAATTATACCGCCACTAATGGACAGCCACCACCTGATGTAAAAGAGCTACTTTTGCTCATCGGAACCCCGAAAAGAAAGCATACGACTTCTAGTCAATTACAACACACACAAAGCATACGACCTCTAGTCAATTACAACACACATGTGCTTTATTCGAAGTGCCCTTTCACTCCAGATGAATTTCTTAACTTTTTGGAAATCTATATTTCGAGGAAAGTTGAAAACAACATATGTGTGCTATATTTTGGGGAAGACAGCAAGGGTAAGTACTACAGTCAACTTGCGCTTCAGTCGTTGGACAAGTACTGCATTCATTCATGCACTGTGTTGTGGCCCTCGTTCCTCAATGAATTATTAATAGCTCGAAACCCTGAATTATTAATAGCTCGAAGCCCTGATTTCCATTGCTGTGTCTGCGGAAAGTCTCATTGTAATCTGTGTTCCGGCCCTTCATTCTCTGCCCCCCTTATCTGTGTGGTACCCTCTGCCACGTCATCCACTCCTGTTGGAAAGCTGACCTATTGGAAAAAGCTATGAAATTGCCCTTCAAACAGGGCAATTTTTCCCTTTATTTTTTGCTAGATTCTAGTCCTTGTCCGCTTCATTGGTTCAATTCCCGTTATCGGCAATTGCTTTTGAATCTTTTTGATTTGATGAGAAACTAACGTAGAAAATGAAAACCTGTGTCTCAAAATTTCTGTTCTTGGACTTCGTTGACAAATCTTGACAAATCTCGGAAAATGTTTGGCAATTTGGCAAACAGAAAAGTTGCTCCAAATAATAATAAAAATAATAATAATTATGAAGGCTCCCAAAAAAAAAAAAAAAAACCCAGTGAATTTTGACAATAATCACAAGCGATTAGGAAGAAATCTATTTTTTAATAGTCATCTGCCTGTTTAAAAACTAATAAAAATTAGCAAATTATTAAAATAAAACATATAGAGGTTGTTTAACTTTGGTGTTTTAACTTGTTATGGATGGAGAAAAGCTAACAAATTGCCCTTCAACTTCAAGGCTTCAACAGGTGAATTTCGCCCTTTTCTAGTCCTCGTCTGCTCCTCACTGTCCTGGTCCTTGCACCACTGTTTGCACTCCCACCATTGGACCTGCACTTCTGCTTCGACTACCTTGTTTTATGGAGTATATGCAATCTTGCACAACCTTGTTGGCAAAGGTAGTGGCTCGCCAAGATTTCCAGGCTGCTCGTTAGACTGCACTGCTTATTACTGGGAAGATATTATGTTAGGTTGGACAATCCGAAGGATGGGCCAAGTTAACAAGGACACAGAAAGAGCTGTCAATGGAGCACTAGTGATTTCCTTACATGTTTCCTACATAATGAAGAAAAAAAAAAGTGATCTCATGCCATGCTTCTCACGTCTCGGAAGAAAAGAACAGAAAAGTTAGGAAAAAAAAAAAAGAAGGAAAAGTTGGAAAACAGGACTTCAATACCTGCAAATGCTGCCGTGTTTCCCACATCATGTTCTTGGTTCATAGGTTGCCTGAAGGATTCTCTGTCATTTGGACCTAACATCCTTCTGAGAAAAAATAGCCTTGAGCAACGGAATTGGACATTTATCATTTATTGTGGGTTTTAGGGCACAGCTTAGATTTATCAAAAGTGTACACGTCCGGAACTATTATGTTCGTTTTTGCAGCTTGTCTAGTTACATTGAATATCTTGAGATTCTCTTTGTCGTAAAAAAAGGTGTAAACGAATGAAAAGCTAATAGAGAAAGATTGGCACATTGGCTTCTTCACATTGGCTTCTTCAACGGAATACTGCTGCTTTTTTAATTCCAACTATACTTCTAGCAAATGTTTCCACTTTGATGATTGATCTTGTTAAATATCCTACTTTTTTGGCCGCCGTTGGTCTCCCCAGCGTGCTGTGTCAATTCGCTTGCATTATTGCATACCCATTCTGCGGCTTGGCTGGTCCCCAGGTGGCCCGGCTGGGAGAAGGTCGCCCGGGCAGAGTCCGGGCAGGGTCCCAGGCAGCCCCAACGCATAATATTTATAAAAAAAACCAAAAAATCAAAAAATTCAACAAATTTTGGAAAAGAAAAATGTTGTGTAAAATTCAACAAATTTTGGAAAAGAAAAATGTTGTGTAAAATTGCAGTACATTGTACAAGCACCTTTTGGCTGAGGGTCCCCTTGAAATTCCTTGTTAATTTTAAGATAAGAATAAATGAGGAGAAATGAGGTAAGATATACCCTTTTAAACCCCTCTAGTCACTGTTTAGAACTTTAGAGTAACTTTATGCCCCCCAAACACCCCTGGGTGGCCCACCACGGAAGTGGAAGGTAAGGGTGGATTCTGCCTGCTCAGGCCGAGCGAAGTCCTGGCCTGAAGTTGGTTCCTTTTTTTGGGGGACCCTTTCCCTCTTTTTTGACCTGCCTGCCTCCCCGGCCCAGCTGGCCAGGGCATGCCTGGCCGGGCGATGGCCCAGCCTAGTTATGCGGAGGATAGGCTGTCAAGCTTCTTGAAAACAGACCGGCCATATGATGAATTGATAGCCTCTGGATTGGATCGGATCGGAAATCATCTAAGCTGATGGCTCTTTGGCACTCGATGATAGCATTTGTTACTTAACGATTCAGGAATGGGGTTTGAGGAGAATGCGATGAGAAGTGAATGCTTCCCCATGCCTTTTCTTCTGTGACGCATAGCATACCTGCTGCTCAATTTTGGCATTTCCTCTTTGTTCTGTTGTTGAACCTGTCCATTTTATTTGCATGATGATTCTGTTACGCGTTTCTTTTGTCCGGTGTACATTTTGGCCAGAGAGTGGCGTGAAACAGTGGAAAGATAACACATGATAACACATGATACTGCATCTGTTGTGTGCATGTTGAACCGCTCGTTCAATCCTCTTTCGTAGTGGGCACAACATAGCGATCACATTACCATATTTGGCCACCGTCATCTGTGATTCTGTGGTCCTTTTTCAGTTCTACCCGATTTTGAAAAGTATGGAGTCTATGGACTCTTTCTGCGTTCTGTGTCCTGCAGCAGTACCACTGTTATTATCTTGTTATGGTACAATCAGTATCTCAATATGATTAAATCATTAAATATTGTCTATCTGGATCGGCGCCGTCTGTTTTCGTCTCTTTTCCGCTTGGGTTTGCACTTGCAGGTCTACATGACCTATGTTCAGGCAATGCAAGGCAGTGGTGGGTGGCCTATGAGTGTGTTTCTGACTCCTGACCTGAAGCCAATCGTCGGAGGAACGTACTTCCCTCCAAATGACATGTATGGGCGGCTTGGGTTCAAAACTGTGTTGAGGTAAGTGGTGGGCATTAATGGATGAGACCGTGCCGGTTGTTGCCGAATTTGGTTGTCGTTACGGCAGATGTGTGTGCTAAGCGGCCTCATGAGGGCGTAGGTTCTCTGCCATCCGACCAGCGGATGTCTTCCTCCTTCCAGCTTCTGCTGCAAAAGGTTTTCAATCTCACCACTTTATGTTTTTCACGGTCCCCACCTCTTGTTGAGGTCTCATCTCGTTCTCAGCGCCTTCAGCAAACACAGTGCAGAAGACCCTCAATTTCCGACATGCATGGCTGTGTGCGCACACACCACACCGAAAACCAACTCCGTTTTAATACTGTGTGAGATCGAAGCCTTAACCAGGAGGATATGAAAACAAAATGAAACTGATAAGAGTCTAGATCCCCCCGCTCGACACCGTACTCCGACCTTAGTGCCTAACTCTGCCTCAAATCAGTCTTATTGTGAAGTATGAGGGGAGTGAATATTCTTCAGTACTACAGTGGTTATGGACCCGCACATCTGAGCCCAAAGTCCTCTGTGCAACCACAGATTCAAACCGACGAGCTTGGCCTCAAGAGCCATCTTAACTAACCACTACAGCCAGGACACTGTGTTCAAAGGTGGAACTGTACCGGTCGTGATATCCACCCCACCTCAGTAGGCTGGGATTGCCAGAGAGAGCTTTGGTGCAAAATAGACCCATGTTTATATACCGCTGGCTCTGCTACCGTCATCGCCTGAATCATCGGTGCCCGAGCCAACAGTATTTCACGCTGCTCGAGAATTTTCTTAGCCTCTGTGTTATAAAGAGGCTGTGTACAAATTTCCACTGCCATATCACAGAAAATTCCAATAGGTCTTTACAGAATGGCAGATTTGGGACATGACGTGATGGTTGCATGAATGTGCTAAACGTGTTGGTGGTCAGCCCCCGCCTGAGGACTCGCATACGCCACCTCTTTCTAAGCTGCTACAGCCCCTGCCGAAGCTCGCAGGTTGTAGCAGCTGACAAAGAAGTGGCATATGCCATGTGTGTCTTCAGGCAGGGGCGAACCATCAGTACCATTGGCGCATTCCCGCAATCATCAAAGCCGTGTCCCAAATTTGCCAGTCGGTAGAGACCTTTCGGACTTTCTGCTATATGGCAGGTGGAGCCTTCACACTAGCCAGCATGAGGAGAAGCTCCAGTCCCTTAGTCCAGCAGTATCTCTGGAGAGGACCGGTGTTCATAACATTGATTTTTGTTATCTATAAACTCAGTATGGAGTGATTTTGAGCACGACAAAGAGATTTTGGTACCTACAAGGCTACCTGTTGCGGCTTCGCCCACAAAACAATGGACGGAAAAGGGTGCAAATGAGGGTGGGTGGGGGCTTGTTGGTCCGGGTGTGGGTTTGGGTGGGGCCGGGGTGTTTTTTAGGCTCACCTGTGCACTGTTGTTGACACTGCCGATGGAATGCTGCTGCTGCTTTGAACGCCTTGAATATATGCTTTTTTTTTCTCTTTTTGATTTTTTTTTGCCCTTTTCTCCTGTCAGAGACCTAATCACAGTTTGTTCTTTTCAGTTGTGGTTTGCTGGGTATGTGATTGTTCGGCTTTGAACTCGTCTGTTGTGTGTGTGTCACACGTTGCATACCTGTCTCCCGCTCACCACAAATATTCTTTCTCAGATGTCGGGATATACGCAATTCTGTGATCGTGTGGGGGGGAAGGGGCCGGCCGTGTAGTAAGATTGGGGTCTCTCTCTCTCTCTCTCTCTCTCTCTCTCTCTCTCTCACACACACACACACACACACACACACACACACACACAACACATGCTATTTCTTTTAAAGGTCTCGATGGACAACAGAATCACGGATCAGATATGAAACTGATCGGAGCAGATGCTACACTTGATCGTGGGGGGTGGGGTGGCACGTAGTTAGTTAGATTGGGCTCTCTCTCTCTCTCTCTCTCTCTCTCTCTCTCTCTCTCT